ACCAAGTAGTAGAGATGGCAAGCACTTTCCCACCCAGACTTATAGTAGCAACTAGCTATTAATTTACATGCTAACCACTATCACTGAAATAATGTCTACTGCTTTGCACACAAATACAGGTGTGGCTTGAACACCTAGCGACACAGCACAATAACAGTATGAAGTCTTGGCTTGACAGGGAAGAGAAAACCCCAGCGTCCAGGAGTTACAGACAGCCTGTCTTTAGCTTTCAGTATACACCATTCAAACCTCCCAAATCTCAGTCCCTCCTTCCTCACCTCCCGTATGACTTGTTGCAGCTCCTCCTGCTCCACAGTTTTATGGATTTCATCAGCTGAAGGCATGAGAGGGACTCTTTCAAGTTTGTGCTCCACCTCTGACTTGGAGTCTGCAAGCTCCTCGGAGCTTTCCACCTGTTGTCCAGTGCCTGCTCTCACTGGGGCAGTTGGTGTTAAGGCAACAGAGGCTCGATATAACTTCCTGCTATGACTCTTACACTTTCCTGTTAGTTCAGAGAATCCAACACCAGCTTTTCGACCTGCGTGACCGGAGCACACTGAAGAGGAATCTGAGTTTCCATGGGAGAATACAGACTCTGTACCCTCTGCTGGGAGAGTTTCCAGTCCAAGATCTCCCAGTCCTAAACCCAGTTCAGACTTCAGAAATGACTGCTCTCGAATAAGTTCAGAGACCTAAGGATTCAGAAAAGAAAGAGTCCTGATTAAGCATACAAAAAAGTCCCATACAGACACAACTATGTTTCCTTGCTATTTATTCAATCATTTACTTATTCCCTCCATGTCACAAATACAGACATAAAATAAATATATGCTTTACCTTTATGATTGCAACAAGGAAGACCACAAAAAGGAATGTACTTTTGTGAAAGCCAACATAAATAAAAATTGTGGCAGTTCCCCAAGCCACTGACTTTTGCAATATGGATACATCGTACCAGAGCCATTGACAGAGACACATGTGAAGACTTGATTTTTGTTTGTTTTTTCTTTCCTTTCTGCAGTCTTTGAACTATTTGTTTTCAGTAGCATAAAATGCACAGAAATATAAGAAATAATCTTCCCTAGAAAATTCACCATGTAGTCATTGTATAAACTAACTGCAATCAATACTTCACTTCTAAATATTCCTCTCAAAAGCAAACAAGACTTCACAGCTACTTACATCTATAGTTAAATTTGCTTAAGGAAAATTGCAGCTGTTCTCAACAGAGATCCTCAAGGGAGTAAAATATTTCAAAAATTATGTGTCAAATTAATCTCCTAAAACCTTTTTTTAAATAAACCCTGCCTGGTTCTTTTACTTAGTAAAACATACAGTACACAACAATTACTTACTGGTTCAATGACATTCAATGGAGAAGGACATGACAGATTATCAGCACTTCTGCTTCCATACATACCCTGAAAAATCAAGTAAAGTTAATGCACTGCAGATTTCTTTACAGTTGTTAGAAGCTAATATATAAACATGCTGTGTTGCAGACAGCTTTCTGTAAAACCAGAAACTTGGAAACAGGAAGCAAAGCTGGTTGGAGAAAGTTTATTTCAGTCATTTTTAAAGCTGGTCCTCTTCTATAAAAGGATTTACAAATAAAAAGATATTTATATGGGTCAAAGAATGCAAGTTTGGCTTGAGATCACAGTAATACCATATTTTCCTGTTCTCGGGTTTCAGGGTTTTTTCATGACAAAATGCTGAAGAGGACGATGTGGCCTGTGCCTGGGCTGCTTCTACAGAAGAGGACTGGTTAAGAAAGAGGAATGAAACCCAGAAAGAACATACAATACTTTTCGTCTGTGCTTCTTTTGTTTGGCTGATGACAGTTGCAGCAGGAAAAAAAGGAACAATCTTCCACTGAGTGAAAAATACAAGTGTAATCACCATGCCACCAATAAACATAGACAAGTGTCCCTTTTATCCTCCTTCTAGTGCTTCTGGGGAGTGTTTGTGGGAGCAGAGCCACATGTTCATCTGAAGGAGTTACAAAAGGCAAAGGAGGAAAAAATTGAAGATGAAAACTGGATTTTCCTGGAGATTTTGTGCCACGGGTTGGCAGAGCTAGAGAGAAAGTGTGCTCCATTTCTTGGAAGAGAAACACTGCATTTCACATCTCTCTGACCTCATTTCACAAGAAAATCAGTGTAGAGAAACTCCAGAAAGACCATCACCATCCTCTAACGATTTTAGACATGAGAACTACCTACCAAAACTGTGAGAATCCAGGGTTATGACGAGGAAAAGAAGAAAACACTGACAGAGACTTAAAACCCCACAAGGTATGTATTGATATGTACTAACACCAAGAAAGTCACACACCTTTTCTCCAAGACAAAATCCTGACTGAAAATAAGAAAATATGAGCCCTGATGATACACCATCATTAGATTCCCCAGATACCATCCTACTGTAAGAGTTTTAACAGTTATGAATTTCTATTTGTCCCGGCTCATTGCAGGAGGGTTGGACTAGATGACCTTGAAAGCTGTCTTCCAATCCAAATTATTTCATTCTGTGATGAACATTACACTGAGAAAACACAATGTTGTTGCAAAACTAGTACTTACTATGTGTGTCTGAGGTCTGTAAGGTGAAGACATGTGCAGACTTCTCAGCTGGTCTTCCAAAGCAAGTAGACGTTCTTCTAACTGCATCTCTAACTCCTGCAGCTCCATGCGGACAGACTTTCTCAGGCTCTGCAGCTGATCAGCTTCATATCTACACCAAGGCCATCACAAAAAGAACAAAAGCATTCACTGCACTCAGCTGCACACCCAAAAGGGTGGTTGAGCAGGACAGTCCCATGAGTAAAGGACTTTGTATCAGGGAATTCCAAGGGGAACAGAGAAAATTCATGGAAAATTTTCATGGAAAAATTAGCTGATGCCTATATTGAACAGAAGTCTTTCTCCCTTTGTAAAAAATACATACGACTTCATGGAAAAAAACAAAAAAACATAGTGTATCATAGAATATTCTCCAAACGTTTTAGCTTTAAATGCCTAAATACGTGCAAGCAGAAGAAATCAGCATTTATACACATATCTACTCAAATCTGATTCAAAAATTATACAAACAACCACAGAGCAACACAATAATCACATGTTACTTCTCCTGTGTTGCAGGATTCTCCAGTAGTCACAGATACATTTTGGCCAGGAGGTCATTGTCAAAAGTAGTCAACTGATTTCAAACATATTCACTTTTAAAATGATAGGTCAAGATGGAGCCAGAATATGAATGTCATCTGTAGCCTGCCAAGCAGGCCCTGAAAGTTGGAAAAGCTTCTGAATGCTACAGTGTTCATTCTTTATTTATATCTACAAAGATAGGGAGGACTGGGGGAATCTAAGATGAAAATCTTTCAGACTTTTTTCTCTGCAATATCCAATGTTCAAGTATCCTATGATAAAAGTCCTTAAAATCTCCAGCTGTAGAATCACTTTGGAGAAAGGATGAAAAAAAATCAATTGGTGAGAAATAGGGAGTAGAAGAAAGAAAGAGTGAAAAACTGTTTAAGAAGTTTAAAGAAAAGAGTAAACAAGGTTTTGGCAAAAACTCAGCTCCAACCCCGTTCAAACTGAAACTAATAGATTTCCTGCTCTGATTTCAGGGGCAGTGGGACATTTCCTGATACAGCAGTGTATTTTCTCCTCTTCTTTTTTTTAAAGATCAGTTTACCTTTCCTCTTCTGTCATGTGCTGATATACCGTGGTTTGTTGTCGCAACATAGTCAGTTCTAAATCCATCATTTGTGTTCTGAATAAGTTTAGATTTCTCCTCACCACTTGTAGCTCCTGGAAAGTATTCTGGG